CATACATACATCTATCCATCCATCCACTCACCCATCCAGACATCTATCCACCCATCTATTCATACATACATACATACATCTATCCACCCATCCATCCATACATACATACATCTATCCACCCATACATACATACATACCTACATCTATCCATCCATCCACTCACCCATCCAGACACCTATCCACCCATCTATTCATACATACATACATACATCTATCCACCCATCCATCTCCCAACCACCCACACTCCCATTCACTTATTTATTCACTGGTCCACTCGCCTGTCCTTCCACTCACCTTTTATTCAGCACCTACTCCATGCCAACTGTACAGCGTAGCCAAAGGAAGCTGGCATTCTCTTTAAAAAATAATCTCACTTTATTTTTTAAATTATGAGAATAATTTAATTTCAAAAGTAATGTACACTTGTCATATAACAGAAAAGTCTGTTATATAGGACACGTAAATATGTTCATGTGTACCATTGGGGCTGCAACAAGGAGCTCAAGCCTGGGCGATGCTTGTTAGGATGGTGCAGTCCCTACGGGCGGTGCTTCCTTCTGCTGTCAGTCAGGTGACTGTGAGTCAGGACAGACTGGACAGCTCCAAACTGCAACACTATTTATAAAGGAAAAGAGAAAACACAAAACCCGCTCCAGTGTCAGAGTCCTGACCGTGCTTTGGAATGCAGCCTTATATTTTGCCTTCATACATACAATGTATGCAAATGTGCATGGAGATGGCCATTGAGGGTGGGGTGGGGAAAGACCATCAAGGAGTTGGACTGACCCAGTGGCTGCCACCAACAATGGGCTCGAGCTTAACAATGGTGAGGCAGATGCAGGACCTGGCAGTGGTTCATTCTGCTGTACACGGGCTGCTATGGTCAGAGTCAGCTCAACCCACAACAGCAACAACTGTCTGCACAACACACTCGCACACACTCGCACAGGCAGATGTGTTAAACACACACACACACACACACACACACAAAGAAACCCCCTCAAACTCACTGACATCAAGACGATTCTAACTCATGGGCGCTGCCCCTCTGGGTTTCTGAGACTTTAACCCTTTATGGGAGTCGACAGCTTCATTTGTCTCCCGAGGAGTGCCTGGTGGGTTTGAACCGATGATCATGTGCTTAGTCCACGACTCCACCAGATGTGTCCATGACTCAACACACTGCCATCAAGTCAATTCTGCCTCACGGCGACCTATAGGGCAGGGTAGCACTGCCCCTGTGGGTTTCGGAAACGGTAACTCTGTACAGCAGTAGGAAGCCCTTGGGGTTCGCAGCCCAGTGTATAAACGCTGCACCACCAGGACACAGGGCCTTACCACCCATACCTTTCTGATTCTGTTTGCACTCAATAGCCAGTCTCAAACCAGTCTCTCCCTTTAAGAGGGCTGCCATCATGTCCCCCAAGCCCCTGTGAGCTGACACCAGGGTTGCTCCAGTGCTTCCTGCTGATCAACAAGACTGTCCGGAACATTCTCGCAGCATGCCTGCTTTGCGAGCGGGTGTCAGAAGCAGACCTTGTTTTTGTTTCAGAAATTTCAATACGACCGATTCCTCAACGCTGATGGAACAGAGAAGAAAGACTTTTACAAGGATGGGAAACGGCTGAAGAATTACAACATGCCATGGGGCGCGGGGCTCAACCAGTGCCTGGGCAGGAGTTACGCCATCAACAGCATCAAACAGTGAGTGTGGGCTGGGGGCGGGCGGGACTGGGGAGGGGGCTGCAGCCTTAGAGCACAGATTCCCTCCGGCCTCTAGGGAGCCCTTTCCTGCCCACAGCTGGCTCGAACTTCACCAGCACATGGTTTTTCTTGGGTTGTTTTCGTGTGTGCTACGATTTTAGAAAGAAGGCGCCCTGGTGGCGTCGTGGGTATGTCTTGTGCTGCTACCCACCAGACCAGCAGCAGTTCGAAACCACCAGCCGCTCCTTGGGAGGAAGAGGAGGCTGTCTACTCCCGTCAAGAGTTACACTCTCAGAAACCCTCAGGGGAGGTGCTACCCTGTTCTACAGGGTCGCAGCAGACGAGCCCCAGGAAAAAGCCAGCTTCCAGGTGGCTTTTTTCATGCTTGCATTTGTCTTGCGTGCCAAGAGCAGGCCTAAGAAAACCCAGTGTTCTTAAAGCACTATCACAACTCATTTGACGACCGAGCCTTTTGTGATTCGGGTGGCCGTTTCCACAGCAGATTGGCTTCCCCTCAACCGTCACGTTTGATTTCCTGACATCAGATGCAGGCCCCCCAGCGTCACAGTGCTCCTCCCATGGCCTCCCTGTGTCTCCCATTCCCATCGTCCTTCCTTGAACCGCCCCCCGACCCCCCTGACTCTCGAGGAGTGCCCCTGGCCAAAGCTGCCCTGGGACCTGTCAGGGCTGGTTGTTCTTGGACAGTGGTTTTCAACCTTCGTCATGCCGTGACCCTTTAATACAGTTCCTCATGTGGTGGTGACCTCCAACCATAAAATGATTGTTGTTGCTACTTCATAATGGTAATTTTGCTACTGTTGTGAATCGTCATGTAAATATCTGATAGTTACAAATGGTTACAAATTGAACATCATTAAATCATATTGATTCATCACAAAATATATGTAATTCTATATTATGAAATATTTATTTCTAATGACAAATCAATGAAATTTTGTCTTGAAGCATGATGTAACATGGGTACCAGGCTTCAGGCCAGGTACTCATAGGTGGGCATATCTGCATGTGGGCGGAGCCACCTGGAGACAGATAGAAGAGCTGTGTCTTGGTTCCTAAGACCATTGGAAATCTATGTTTTCCAATGGTCTCAGGCGACCCCTGTGAAAGGGTTGTTCGACCCCCAAAGGGGTCGTGACCCACAGGTTGAGAACCACTGCTATAAGGAGTGCCGGCCTCCAGGCTGCTAGCAATCAGGGTATGGCTTGGCTGTGCCACAGAGTGGACTGTGTTCGGTGCCAGGTCTGAAGGGTGTCCAAGAGCCATACTTAGTCCCAGGGGTTTCTGTTTTCTTGGGAAGCCACGAGATCTGGCAACAAAGATCTCCAAGCCTGCTGCCCTGGACATTCCGTCCCGCTGACCACAGCTGTCCGAGTCTGCAGCTGCTGCGGCTTGTTGAGGATCTCGGGGCAGGAACTGGCTGACCCCACTGTCCCTGCATGGGCATACGAATGCCTGCCCAGCAACATAGCCTGTGGCTCCTACTCCCTGAGGTTTTTGGACAGAACCGAGAAAGAATGGGTACTAAGTACTTCCTACGGTGTTTGGCACATAGTTTGGGTTCGGGTAAAGGAGCTAATTGTGTTGTTTCTTGTCATCGCACTTCGTTGTCATGGTAACCTTGCTAGTGTGGTTGGTGTCCATCTAAGCCGAGTCTAAAGAGGTCACCTCATTTGTCCTGGTCACACCTCTCATAAGCAAAGGTACCAGGATTCATCACTTCCCTCCCCTGCACCCCAAGAGGATTGGACCCAAGATGGCCCCCAGACCAGACAGAGGCTTTGCCAGCTGTGCAGTGTCCCTGTTTCAGCCCCATGTCCTCATAAGCTGGTCACCCTTTGGAGTGTATTTCTTCATCTGTAAAATGGGGATACTGATCAAAATGCCGGTGTGGTCAGAAACGGATTGGATCCTAGAGTTTAAGTACTTAACACTGCCTGGCACAAAGTAGGCATCTTACCAATGCCAGCTGGTATGATGATTGTAGTGGCTACACGGGTGGGTTCCGACCTAGAGTGACCTAATGGGGCAAAGTAGAGCCGTCCATCAAGCTTCCAAAGCTGTCATCTTCATGAAAGCTGACGGCCACATCTCTTTCTCCGTGTGGGTGAAGACAGCCTCAGCTCTCTCCCAAAGAGCGACTGGTAGACTCGAACTGCTGGCGCTGCAGACAGCAGCATATCTCTCATCCCAGTCCTGCAGTTTGCTGGTGGAAGAGGGTGCCAGGAGGTTTGCAGCCAGCGAGTTACTGGGCTGTGGCAGAAGGACGCTTGGCCAAAAGGGGAAGGAGAGAGAATGCGAGTGAACTGAGGCAGCTGGTGGGTGTTCAGTGTGGCCTGAGAATTCCTGCAGGCCTGTTGGCTTTGTTTTTCCATTCACAAAGTGCTCTCCCAGATGCCAATGTGAAAGTCCTCTTATAATCAACTCATCCCCTAAGCCAGTGGTTCTCAACCCTTGTCCCGATCCCTTTGAGGGGCGAACGACCCTTTCACAGGGGTCTCCTAAGACCATCGGAAAACACAGATTTCCAATGGTCTTAGGAACCGAGACACCGCTCGTCTATCCATCTCCACATGCAGATATGCCCACATACGAGTACCGGGTGTGAACACTGTCACGCATGCTACACCATGCTTCAAGGCAACATTTCATTTATTTGTCATTAGAAATAAATATTTCACAATCTATAATGACTTTGTTTTTATGATGAATCACTATGCTTTAATGATGTTCGATTTGTAACAATGAAAATACATCCTGACTATCAGATATTTACATGACGATTCATAACAGTAGCAAAATGACAGTGATGAAGTAGCAATGAAAATAATTTTATGGTTGGGGGTCACCACAACATGAGGAACTGTATGAAAGGGTCAAGGCATGAGGAAGGTTGAGAACCACTGCTCTAAGCCAACCTTGCCGGAACAAATTTTTGCCTTCGAAACAAAGAGCCATGTCAGAACTGGCTGTCCCTTCTACCGGACCACATTGTTTGAAAGATGTGGAAAAAAAAAACATGGTCGAGTCGATTTCAACTCGTGGTGACCCTGTAGGACAGACGAGAACTTCATCCCCAGGTTGCCAAACATACCTGGGGGTGCACTGGGCCAAGTGTTGGGCTGCTAACCGCAGGTCAGCGGTTCAAATCCTCCAGTGGCTCCTGGGGAGAAAGATGAAGCTTCGGCTCCTGTCAAGATTTCCAGCCCCAGAAGCCTTCAGGAGCAGTCCCACTCTGCCCTGTAGGGTCGTGGTGAGCTGGCGCCGACTCGACGGGGGTGGATGATAGGGTTTCCAAGGCTGTGCATCTTTACAGGAGCTTGCTCCTGTGAACCGCCAACCTTGCGATTGGCGCGTAACCAGTGGGACACCAGGCACCTTCTAAAGAAGAGCTTGGGGCGAAATGCCCCCGACAGTGTCCAATCCTTAGTGTGTGCTTGCTCAAGTGACTAGTGGTGACTTCATTGTCACGGCAACCCTGTGAGGCCAGTATCAGTCTAAAGGGAGACTGAAGGGTGTTGTCATTTGCCGGGCCATGCACCTCAATAGGGGAGGTGCCAGGAACCCCCCCCC